ATCGGGCGATGCCATCGCCCGATGCAATCGCCTGGTGTGTCCACGACTGCGCGATAGAATCGGGCGATGCCATCGCCCGATGCAATCGCCTGGTGTGTCCACGACTGCGCGATAGAATCGGGCGATGCCATCGCCCGATGCAATCGCCTGGTGTGTCCGGCCCTTTAGCGGCGCAGTGGCATAATCGCTAGAACATGCGGCTCCTACACTGGGATTCCGTGTTCGAGTCCCAGCTGGAGAACTTATTTTCATTTTTTTCTTTTTACCTACCTCTTTAGTATGTATTATTTTTTATTTCGTATTATTTTTTACTGTTTGGGATGGGATGGGATGGGATGGGATGGCATGCGATGGCATGGCGTGGGATGGGGTGCGGTGCGATGGGATGGGATGGCATGGAATGGGATGGATGCATGGATGGATGCATGGATAGATAGATAGTTAGATTTTTTTTGGTATTTTTCTTTCAACGAAGCGGTCACCAACTGAGTAACGCCACTGATTTCCCCGGGCAACGCCGGGTATCCCGCTAGTATACATATATAGTAGATATTAATTCAGATGTAATTACGTTTTTCAAATGTCTTTTTCCGTAATCTTTTTCATTACAAACGGTCTATATGACGATGTCGACATACCACTCAAATCTACGAATAGCCACATGATTGGTCTTGCTATTATGAAAATAATCTTTTAGGCAAAGTCACGGTTTATTCAAAATAATAGAAATATTTATCACACGTCCTCGCACGATCACACTAACTATGACTAATCTATTAGCCATATAATTAGATACCGTGATAGCAAATTGATATCGATCACAATGCACACACTAGTATCCTCACGTTTAACACTCAAACTATCACTAAAATCCTAATTACACGCATTAACATATTTTTTTCATTTTTACAAAATGTGTACCCCGCGTAAAAATCATCATAATTGGCTTGATCGCAAATAAACAAACAGAAACACATCGGTAATTATGAAAATGGTGGAATTAACAACTAAGTTGTTGTCAAAAATAGCAACCACGTGCAACTTTATCACTACTTGATATACAAGTTCATTTGTATGAAATAGTTATATAGCTTATGCGTAATTTGACAAGCCAAGTAGCGGCTTACAAAACGTTGACAATGGTAATTGCACTGACACCATTTGTATATTGCGAATCCCTTGCTCAATAAATATGATCGGTTACGTGACGCGTTTCAAATAAACCTGCCTTGCAGATCGATGTACAAAACAATAAGCCACGTTAACCCTTTCGGCCTCGTTTCCACTGCATATAATCAATAACTCAATAATATATTATGAATGCTATGCCACATCATTCTTTAGTTTGTAACCACACACATTCATGTATGTACGCCCTGCAGCAGGCAAACAGGCAGCCATTAGAATAATCGATATTATATATGTGTACCAATATATAACATGCCGCAAAGGCCATAGTGGTAAAGGCAACCTCTTTGAAAGACTGAAGGTATCACAAGATACAACGTAGACGTTTATATCTCAGCAGCGTCAACCAGCGCCACCTATGTGCGCACACCGCATGGCCATTCTCGTATTTGCACTTGAACAAATACTTTCACTGCGCATTTACCGCGCGCGTTATAAGCTATGGCAATACGCGCATGCCGCATAATCACTACATTCGCAGCTAACTTGCAAGTTTTGGCTATTTTCCGTCGCGTATTTTGCGTGACAACTTCGTAGTAGACCTAATGCAGCACAGCTTGTGTCTGCGTTCTACGGCCGCCACTTATTGCACCCGGCGGCATTGCTCATGTAGTAATTATGAAAATGGTGGAATTAACAACTAAGTTGTTGTCAAAAATAGCAACCACGTGCAACTTTATCACTACTTGATATACAAGTTCATTTGTATGAAAAATAGTGATATAGCTTATCCGTAATTTGACAAGCCAAGTAGCGGCTTACAAAACGTTGACAATGGTAATTGCACTGACACCATTTGTATAT